AGGGCTCCAAATGGCACAAAGTCGATGCCGCTTGTAGGCTTCAGGGCCTAAGTAGGTATCATGCATAGTTGGATTTGGATCCCAGGGCTCTCGATGCAGAAAATGTTTGTTCAGCTGTTTGCTTCTTATACCTAAGAAGTAGCCAACATGTAAATGTAACCTACTTCTTGGGCCGTGTTTGGTTGTTGTTCACTATACTCTTAGTAGGACACGTGTATCATACTCTTGGTGGGGCTCTATGGCGGGTGCGGCTTCACTTATGTCTTGGCGAGGTAGTGCGGCTAGTTTTTTTGTTCTGCGTGGCAGTTGCAACTATCCTGTCCCTAGCTCATTCGCGTTGCTGCTATCACAGATGCTGCCACAGTAGCTACTACAACCACACCATGCTACCACCACCGCCTCATGCTAGTACTTTGTATTCCCAGCTTCCGTTGAATTTTCCATCTTCTCTTCCATCTGATCTGCCACTCTCCTAAACATCCCGGTTCGTCCTCATCCCTAAATATCCACATATGTATATGTGTATATATATATATGTATACCTGCTGTATCCCTAGAACCCCCATAAACCCTGAACCCTAAAAGCCTAGCTGCAGGACTCGCTGGATCACGTCAAGGAGTCCTTGGACTCCAGCACGCGCTATGTTGAAGCGTCTCTCCATGAGGCCCCGAAGGAAGGGTAGGATTCAGGATTTAGGGTTTAGGGGGTATAGTTTAGGGTGTAGGGCTTGGGGGTTTATAGTTTAGGGTTCAGGGTTTTGAGGTTTATATAGGACTATGGGGTCTTTATATGGGTTATATGGTGCTATCTAGGTTTATATAGGGTTTCATGGGGTTTTATGGGGTTGCATAGCGCAATATAGGGGAAGGGAAAAGCAAACAGAAACTGCCATAGTATGAACGGTTTGAGGCTAGGGGAGGGATTACCAAAGGTTGCACAGTCTCTCTCCAACAATTAGGGGTCTCTTTGGTCTTCTGGGAATTGTAAAATGCTGCGGTCTTTGATGGGGTCTTCTGCAAAGCGGATACCTGGATCAGACTGCGTGTTCAAATAGCCCAAAATCAGTAATATTGGCTATATTGGGGTAACGGTTATATTAGGGTGGAATTGTGGTTATATAAGGATAGTGGAAAAGAAAGTCGAAACTACTATAATACAATTGAAGACAACATGGGTGTTTGTCAAAACTATACGCGAATGAGGTTTGCATGATTGGGGGTATATCCCCGACAATGGATATGATTGACTACTCAGTTATCGGTTCGTTGGACCTCACACAGCTTGCAGGGCAGCTTGCAAGCCAAGAATGGATAGAACGTCAAAATGGCAGAAAATCTGCCCAACTACTGATAACCTAGACCCTCCTAGCACTAATCATGGGCATTTAGGCCGCAATAGACGGTGGCAAGAGTGCACTGGAAGTCTCAGAGATCAGAGCTCTGTCCCTAGTAATGAGGCCTCCAAAAAGAAATATGCCCCAGGGTTCTATAAGTGTACTATATTCGGAATACCTGTGATTAGGGGGTGGGGCGGGGACATCATGAGGCGGACGGGATTCTGTACATTTCAACAGTCGAGTTTTGAGTAGGGGTGCGGGGAGGCGGGTTTGGAGGACCTGTTGCAGACTGCACTAGTGAATGACAAAGAAAGGTGTTTTGTTTTGTTGTGCCTCGCCTAGTCGGGGGTTCTTGCAACTCCCATGCACCTGCATTCAAAGAAAGACCCTAAAACCTTTAACAAGTGAAGGTCCGACTGGACATCGAGAGCTTAGACGCCAAGCGGGACCGTGACAAGTCAGGTTACTGCATGCGGTTGTTCTTCCTCTGGTCGGGCTGTGTTTTGTGCGAAGTGGTGTTACGAACTGGCTAGGAACCTACTCATGCAATTGGCTATAGCGTGCCAAGAGAGTGTTTACAAGCATTTTGCACGCATGCAGAAAGTGCTGACAGATGTTGGTAACAATTTGCTCTCAGGGTTTGGGATCTTTGGCACGCAGTTGATGGCTTTGCATGCAATCCAAAGCACAGCTGTCCCTAATGAGAACTCTGGGAAATACATCAGGGTGCGACCCCATTCTGAAAATGCCCCAAAATCAACGGGCCTTTGGGATGTTGTTGGCGTTTTCCTTGGCGTGTAGGCAAATGCAGTGTTTAGGCTCGAGGGGATGTGCTGCAGAATTGTTGAGCTTTAGGTTCAGGGTTAGGTTTTGGATTGTTTTACTTGCCAACCAGAGTGGTAACGCTAAAGCTTAAAAGCACACATCCAAGATCTATTCGTTGAACCCTACATCCTGAACATGTTTATCGTGAACACTTCAGCCTACACCCTGAAGCCTGAACCTACCTGGCTGTAAGTGGCGAATGAGAGAATTTATTTTGCAGTAGTCCAATTTGATCCCTGAAATTACACAATCCATTCCTCCAGTGCTGCCCAAGCACTAGGTAGAAACGGCAACTTCTCAACCTTACAGCCATCACAGCCTGGAATGACCTGTTTAAGGCCAATTTTGAAAGTTGTTACAGGGTTGTGTATGGATATTCAGGGGCTTAAAGGAGCACGTGTGTGTGTGTGTGTGTGTGTGTGCCTATAATACATACATATACTTAGATGTGTTGTTTAGGAGTTGCAATTGTTAGAGGTCCCTTTTTGGGAGACCTCTGGATATGTTAGGAGAACAAGACGTTTGGGTATAGAAGCGGGCGGCCGAACGGGGCGTCTACTTTGTGGAGCTCGGGGATCCTAAGTGATAGGGAAAATACTTATCGATATCGAGGGAGGATAGAACATACTTACGAAGGGGATCTGGTTCACAAGCCAGAGTTCTCAGAAATGTAATGCTTCAGTTGCTTCAGGCTTGAAACATAACCGGAACCCTGTTACCAAAAGGCACCTGCAAAGGTTTAAGTGGTGAGCCGAGGGCAAAGACAAGTATGGGAAGCTCAGCACCTTACCTCCGTGGACGGCAGAAATTTGCACCAGCCTATGATTCATAGATCCCGGGAGCTAAAGTCGCTTCCATGTTGAGAGCCCACATAGGTGCGGCGGGATTTCATCCATGGGCAGTGTGAGTGTCTGCATCCATTTTGAGATCGGTTCTTGCGTGTGTTCATAAGTCCCTGCTGGCATGGTAAGGAAGGGCCTAAACCCTGAACCCTAAACCCGGCTTCTTGTAACTGACTGTCTGCTGTGCTCCTGACAGCTTTGGAAGACTCCATGGGCTCCATGCAGCAGCAGGCGCAGCAAGAAGTTGGGGGCGGGATTTCAGCGGAAAGCTCACGTAGGGCTTTGGAAGGTCTTTGCTTGTAACCCATGTCCCTTTCTCTGACAGAGGCTTCAGGGGAACTCGAGGATACATGTAGAGATTGTAAGGAGATCACCACAGTGTCCCTTCAGGATTAGTTATTCGAGGGTTTCTTGAATCCTTTCTGGGCAGCACATATTACAATCATGTCTCAAGGTATACGAGGAGGAAAGCTACACTTTTTTTAATTACTTCTGTGCTTCCGACACATAGAGACTTGCAAGCCTAGGGCTAAGAAGAACCCCCCATCCACTCATAGTCGTATAACAGCACTATTCACGGGTGGGGGGGGGTTTACGTAGGCCGAAAATACCCTGTGTAGAAACCCCTAAGTTTCTTAACATGCTTTTTATTTGTTTGTTGGTGTAGTTGTGGTTGGGCTTGGCGGTATACCTCCGGTTACGCCCTCAACCGGAGCCCCTCATCCCTAAACCCTAAGTTTCTCCTGAACCAGCAAGCAATGTAGGGTCTGCATGCTTTCTTAAAACTTCTTAGACATGCTGTATTCTGGCTTCTTGGCGGTTTGAGCAAGGGCGGTTGACGACTATCGGGTTGATCGGGTTTAAGGGGCTAAGAAGTACAAGATCTGGGGCAAGAGCACCTGACGATTCATGAACAACACACCTGTCGCCAAGGGTTCTGTAGTTGTGTACGTGATACTTGGGATCCTACACGACGATTGACCATTTGCACAAAGACTGGGATGGGTAATGTTCGCAAGGGTTAGAGGAGAAGAAACCCTAGACCCCTAAACCCTAAACCCTAAACAGCAGCTCAAGCGGGGGATGCCCCTTGGTGGTACTGTAGCCATCTTTGTCCGCGGCCTCTGAGGTGGCTCGCGCCGCTGGCATAGCTAAGGACTTCCCAGCCTACAACGCTGAGCCCCTGAAAGACTGAAACTGTAAACTTTGAACCTTTGATTCTTATTGAAGCATTCGTTCCTACGTTGTGCTACGCTTCTCCCGCCAACCACAGCTTAGGCTTACTTACCCTGGACCAGCACCTTGGTTCCCAGATAATGGGTGTTTGTTCCATTATATCTCGCACTTAATTACTACTTGTGTGTTTTGATGTTTGAGTTTCAGGATTTTGGTTGGGTTTAGGACACTTGGGTAGCTTCCAAACCACGACCACGAATCACAAACCCTAGCGTCACAACCGAAGACTGAGCCGTAAGCCCGAAACACACAAGCCCCGCAGCTCCAAGCACTGAACCAAAATCCTTTGAAGCTCCCGGCCGCTTTCCTTGGATCACAAGATCCCCTTCGACTCCTACCCAAACACCTCCCACCCCAAAAAAGACAGAAATGAACCCTCAGTGACCCCTCCAGGATCTCCTTTCGGGCCAGGGAGTGCCAGGCTACCCTAAACCTCAGAGTAGCCCAAACCTAAAACCCTTTTAGAGTCCTATTCCTACGGTGGATGCCAGGTTGAGAGCTCTTCTACCTCGATCGAGCAGTCCCCTGTCCTATAATGGGTACTAAAAATCCTGCATGACCCTAAGTACCTTATGAAGATTGATCGATGACGCTTCGGTCTTTTCCTGCAGCCTAGGGGGGCTCCAAGCTCGATGACTGCGGAATGATGTACAAGTTGCCATGCAATTTGCACGGCCCCTCAATAGATTTACGAGGGTTTGTGTCATTATCATCATGGAGTGTCATGAATGCGCCTCGTTTTCCCCAAACAAGAACACACTTAAGAACTGCGATTGTGGAAGGTGGTGATTTGTTGGTGGGTGCTGTTGTTGTAAGTTGTTGCTGCCGCGGTGTCACACTCCATTGCGTCCAATCCAAGTTTCTTCCTTGTCTTGGCGCTCTGCATGTTCTCGTCGTACACGATCTTCCACCTGAAGCCCATTTGGATGTACAAGAGCATCTGATGCTTCTCGTTTGGTTTGGTGAGGGAGTTAGCAACCATTGCGTCACCATGAACCCAACTGATTGTAGTACCCATTCGTTCGATGCTTTCTCGGAGTCCCAGGGCTTCAATATTGGCTCGTTTCTCGCTACCCTTCATTGTGAGGATTGGGGCATACAACTTGTCGAAGAGGTTCTTTGCGTCTGTGACCAAATGTCCCGGAGTCCTTGACGAACACAAATGAGGTCTACGAGCATCCAATTCATAACCACAAAGTTCACCCCAAAGGACACGAAGATACACGAGGTCATCATCCCCATCTGCTGAGGCCATAGTCTCTGCTGCGGCTGGTGATCTGCAAACTCTCTCTATCTTTCCAGAACGCCAATATATTGGAGTAACATCCGATTCTAAACCTTCACGAAGTTTGGGGGTTGACGTACCAATAAAAATTCCAGCTGTACTGTCGGATTGGTTTGGCCTGTTCGCCCATGCTGCATCGGTCCAGCACGTCATCTCCAAAGGTTCTTCTGGATTGAAACTGTGTATACGGAACTTCAGATCCCTCCACTTTTTGAGAGCTCTAGCGACCCCGTTGGCTTTGATGATGTCCTCGACTTTACTTACAGGCACTGTTGTAATCAGGAAATTGACGTCCACGCTATACATGAAACATGTTTGCCCACAAATCCAAGACATGCTTCCCAGTAATGCTCGGAGCTCGCGCTTCTCGAGGTCTGTCGTGGGAGCCTCCGGCATTCTAGACCTATCTCGTGAAATGTGGATTTCCTGCAGCTCGTCAATGCTCTTCTGCTGATCAAGTTCAAATGAGAAATCTTGTAGCTGACGAATTCGGAGTCCGCGTTGTGTGAATTCGTTTTCTTCCCAAGTACCCCAAGCAAACTTCTGACGTAGCTGTGCCATGAGTCCTTCATGAGTAGAACAACCGGGGGCCCCTGCAAACATGAAATCATCAACATGACCATGTATCATGGATTTGATGTGACCTTCGGCATCTTGATATATCCAACAACATGGTTCAGTTTTGAGGCGTTTGTAACCTAGTTGTTGTAGAAAACGACATACACTTTTGTACCAATGAAGAGGAGCTTGTACCAAACCATATGCCGCCTTTCGCATCAACATGGGGGCGCCTTCATCTACTCCAAGAGCCTGACAAATTTCAGGGAGAGGTCGACAAAACATCTCTTCCTCCAGATTGTCTCCTTGAAGAAAAGCGCCTGAAATGTCCCCTTTCTGGACCCAGAACTTCTTCCAAGCACTGTGTTGAAGGAATAATTGTCGCCCGGCCTTGGTGGGTGTAGGTGCTGAAGTTTCCCGAACAGCATAGTTCGGGTCTTGATAGCCCAGAACAATGGCCCTTGCTTTTGCTTTTCTCCCATTGTTGTCTGTGTACTTGTCATCGAATTTCCAGGTCAACAGCCAACGCATTCCCAGAATTTCAGATTCCTGTAGTTCGCGACCTTGCCATGCCTTGAAGCATTCTGCTGCCACGAAGTTGCGCACCTCGCTGCTTTTTGCTTTGTCGAACTGTGCTTTCTCCTCGGTTGTGAGTCTCTTCTCATGAACTTCGACCTGCTTGCGTTTGAGTTTCTGGCAGATGTAGGCTGAGGCATTCTCGGCAAACTTTTTCCACCCTCTTTTGGATGTCGGCATCTCAATTTCAATCTCGACTGCGGCGTAACCTTCTTCGTCGGGAGGATGGTCTCGCTTCGTGCCTCGTCGTTCTTCGCCTC